GTGTAATTTTGTTGATATCTTTGCAACATATTTGTTTTAGATCATCTTTAGTATGAGCAAAGGATTTTTCGAACTAAACTAAACTTTTTATCAGTATGAATATTATTTTTCTGATGATCCCTGCATCTATGCATTATCTAACTCAGTCATTTCTGATCATTAAGCTTTGATTATCAGAGTGTGGTATCACATCTAATGAAGCATGTAAGCATCCCCTATGACATCACACAATTCACATGATCAATTTATTTTATAGTAAAAGCATTTAACAACATATTCAAGATAACATTTTAATGTGTTTGATAATTTACGAGAGTTTATTATGTATGTAAACAAGGTTAATAAAGCTCATTATATCTCAATTATTTTTATTTGCCCCGGGTGCCTTGATTTCCGGTTACTATGGCAACCATTACTTATCTAATATTTCTGTTACACCAAATATTTCTTGATAGATTAATACAGTATTCTATACTGCAGATTCTATGAAAATTTCATGAGAATATGTTGAAAAATAAAATAATTAGAGAGATATTATGAGAACTTTATGATATACCCTCGTAGATAATAATAATAATAAAAATCAAGATAAACCTTTTATTTCATTAACATTAAATGCTTTTTTAAAATCAACCAAAATTTCCTTTGTACAATTACATGTTGTGTTTATGTCGTTTTGTTCCAATAAGGTTCGGAAAGATGTTTCATTTCACTCTGGAAACGTGATACCAAGAACAAAACAAGTGTTTGATGTGTTTTCTAAAACAATATAGATGAAAGTATATATATTTATTTCAAACTATATTGTTACCATTCAAAAGATGACCATTAAATTGACGATGTTTTAAATTTCTAGATTTTTTTATGACTGGTTTAAGAGAAATGTGTGTTCAAAAGGTTCTCCATATCGATACCACTCCTTTCCAAATAAACTGCAAGAATGACCAGGGCCAAAAATGAATACACTTGATTCTCTTCAATAAAATAGAAATAATATCTCTATGAACATGAACTTGAAGTCATATTCAGTGCCAAAAATGAATAAACCTTATTCTCTCAGAAATAATATGCCAATAACCACGAACTACCGTATTTTGAAACATAATCATGCATTCAATTCATTTGTATGTTTTTCATGTTTTAAATTGTCTCATTCTTTAACTAAATAATTTCCACAATATGGTTGAAAATAGTTGCAACCATTTGGTAAAATGCAACTTTTAAAAACAATCAGTGGTTTGTAATGGTTGAAAATGATTCCATAATTTCAATGATATGCAACCAAAGTTTTCAACCATATGGTATGCCTGGGTCACATAGCCGCCGGGCGCTGGCCGATGAGTAGTCATCGGCCGATTTCTAAATCGACCGGGCGCTGGTGACTTTTCACCGATGTCTTGATCTAATCGTGAGTATGGTCACATTAGATCAGGCATCGTACAGCGCCCGCAATCAATTGAATCTGAAAGACATCGCACGGGTATCGCACGGGTATCGCAAGGCTATCTGCCGATGGCCGTACGGCACCCGCCAGGACATCGGTCGATCTACAGGCCTCTAGATTTATACAAAATTCTTGTATGACCCGGTATGCCTGTTCCACATGGCGTGAATGCAAGATTTGAAAATGAAATACTTCGATAGACAGGACTTCCAGGATAATAATGTTTCTATGCAATAAAAATCAGAAAGATCCTCTTTTGAGTAAATAGGTTCAATATTTAGAAAAAATGCTGACATGGGGTCCCTATTTATAGTTTTTCAAATTGTTTGATTGATATTTTTACTATATTATGGGTACTTCAATTGAAAGAAAACATATTGTTTTAATAAAAACACTGTATTTATGCCCAGAAAGTACTCATGGTGAAAGATATGACCGTGTAAAATCACTTGCCATACTGCAGGTGGTCTTTTCATCAAAGTGAACCCTGACCTTAATTCATTTTTAGATCTTTCATATAAACAAATACTATGTCTACCTGTCCATCCGATGCTATTAGAAAAATTCCATATTTCTGCATCTTTCTTTTGACTGTTCTCGTAAAGAGAATTTGTTTGGTCATAAAATATGGCCTATCTTCAAAGAAATTGGCGATTTTTCTTCTATTTCAAGTGGAGTACCCTCTTCCCTAGACACATCTAAATCTTCATCATCCACCAGCTCACTAGCATTGTTATTGTCTTTTTCCACCTGTCTTCCCAAGGCCTTCCTGATATATGGCCCATTGGCCTTATCCCCTCTATCCTTAGCCTTTGGCATATTAACTGTAATTGAGACAGTGAACTTTCGTATTAAAATTGTGACCCTTGAAAATACTGTTCTCACAAAAACATTCAGAAGGTTTTTAGAATAAATGATTTGTAATGGTATATACATGAGTGAATATACGCATAGATATGTATCACTCTATATCTATTCATTGTGTATGACAGACATACACGATTAATGTCAATATAAGAAAGACTAGATCAACCCACCCACCCAGCCATTCAAATGTGTGTCATTGTTTTACAGTAAGCCTAATCGTTCCATTTATGTTTTATAAAAAATCTCCGACAGTGTGTAGTAATTATAATTCCTTACCTCATTATTTCTAAAACCTTTATATCACTTTATAAGTAATCATTATTAGATTTATCAAACAAATCAGCACGCAAAATACCATGATGACCGTGCGATGCCACCGGGCGCCGTAAGATAATCGTACGATGATCGGAACGGGACACGGCCAGGTAGGTACCGATGAGTTTGGTTGAGAAAAAATCGCCTAGACAATGGCAACTTTTATCTCCGCGATAAAACTCTGCCGGCGCCCGTACGATGTCTAAAAATCGGCTGATGAGTGGCGATCATCGCCCGGCGCCCGTACGATGCCCGGGCTCGCCGGCCGATTTTGAACAAAATACTCATCGGCCGGGCGCCGTAGTGAAAATCGGAGCTTATGTGACCAAGGCATTAATGATTGAAAAATTGGTTGGAAACAATTTCAAATGGTTGCAGTTATGGTTACGCAATGGTTTTTAATGGTTATGCAATGGTTTTTAACGGTTGAAATTCTGAAAAATGGTTGTTTTTTCTAAGGGAAATCCTAATTTTTGGGCTTGATTATGCCGCATCCCCTGACTGAAAACTGAGATTTTTTGGCGTTCGCACCCCTCTGGCTACACTCCTGGAATATGAACAAAATTGCTCCAACAATTTTTGAGTTATTGTAAAAAAAAATGTAAAATGACACTACTTCCCAAATTGTCATTAGACAGTGTGCCATTGTTATGAGTATTCACATATCAAATATGAACAAAATCGCTCCACTACTTTCCGAGTTGTTGTAAAGAACATAAAATAATACATGTAAAATGGTAGTCTTTTTTAAAATGAACTAAGTGTAATTAGACAGTGTGCCATGTTTAAAGTATTCACACATCAAATATAAACTAGAAAAACAGCAATCCACGGAGTAGCAAATCCCACCAAACAAAACATATTATGCTTATTATAGCTAGTGTATAGCTTATAGCTTCTTTGCGATAGAAGCATGAAATTTGGCACAAAGTCAGTTTATACCATTATGAACTAGGCATCATCATATCAAATTTGAACCAAATCCGTTCACTGGTATATGAATTCTCAAAGATTACGTTTTTTACGAATATGGGCCGCCATCTTGAAATTCAGCCGCCATCTTGAAAATAGTTTCTTGAACAGAGCTACTGTGTCCCTAGGCATAATCATATAAAATTTCAACCAAATCTGTTCACTGGTATTTGAGTTATCAAAGATTACGTTTTTAACAAAAAATTGCCGCCATTTTAAAATTAAGCGGCAATCTTGAAAATGTTTTGTCGAACATAGCTACTGCGTCCCTAAGCATCATCATATAAAATTTGAACCAAATCCGTTCACTGGTATTTGAGTTATCAAAGATGACATATTTTTACGAAAAATGGCCGCCATTTTGAAAATAAGCGGCCATCTTGAAAATCTCTTTTTGTGCGAAACTCCTTTGTCCCTAGGCATCAGCATATTATATTTGAACCAAATCCGTCAACTTGTATTTGAGTAATCAACGATTACATTTTTTACGAAAAATGGTGGCCATTTTGAATTGAGCGGCCATATTGAAAATTGCTTCTTGAGCAGAGGTCCTACACTCATAAGGCATAAGCCTATAAAATTTGAACCAAATCCGTCAACTGGTATTGGAGTTATCGCCCAGACACACGGACGAACGAACGGACGGAAGGACCAACGGATGGCTTCTCTATATCCCCCTCGAACTTCGTTCGGTGGGATAACAAAATGGCTTGTCTACTTTTTAACTTATAGCAAAAAACGTAAAATAACACATGTTAAAATGATGGCCATTATTCAAAATTGCCACCTGCTACCAAGTGTCATTAGACAGTGTACATGCTTATAGTATTCACACTACTTTTCAAGTTACAGCAAAAATAGTATAAAATAGTGTGTTAAAGGCTACCATTGTTCAAGATGGCTGTCATGTGTTTCTCAAATATCTACATTTGAAGCTTTATTAATGTCCTATGTATAACTAATAATTACATTTAAGACATTTTGCTATTACAGTTTTATATATTGTACCTAAATTACTGTAAAATCAGCACTAAAATGGCCACCATTTTTAAACGATGAGCCATTTTGAAAATCAGCTTTCGGGCAGCACTTCGATTCTGATAGGGTATATGAGTACAAGATATGAACAAAATTAGGCCAATGGTATTTGAGTTGTCGCCCGTACAAATGAATGGACATATGGACGGAGGAGTTCCTTATATCCCTCTGAACTTTGTTTGATGGAATAATAAATGTATAGTTACATGTTATAATACATATTTGACCCCAGCTATGGGATAAGCTTGAATACTTCTATCCATAGCATCAGTACAATACTCACTAGAATTCAAACTATATATGTATCATTCTTTTCCTTTTCTCTCTTCAATTAAAATATGTGTCTCATGGATTTGGCACCTACCTTGAGTAAGCCCAATAGCTTTCACAGGTTGCTCATTATTTTCTATCTCTCCTTCATTGCCAACATCTTTCATATGTTGATGAAATGTTTGGGCATGTGACTGTCTGCGTACATCATTTTCTTGATTCAGAGTGGTGCTACACAAAAATGCTCTTTGTCCATTTTGCAATGAGACATTTTGCTCAGCTGAAAAAGTTGTAAAGGATATAATTAGAGGAACATTTGCTGCTTTTGTAAGTGAAATGGTGATATTTTGTTATTTCCAGTTATTCAGGAGAACTGAGAAGCAGGTTGTTGATATTATTCACGCGGTAGTATCTCTTCGGGACGTATCGAAACCACTCCGTCCCAAAAAAACGTTAATTTGAATTTAAAACCTAACCCAGTGTTTGAATATCAAGGATTGTGAGTCTCACACTTCACTGTTTTCTTCAAACTTGTTCCGTACAAAGCTTCACAGAAATACCTTTCAGTCGATACATTGTTTTCGTGTACAAAGTACCTCGTTTTAGCGGCGTTTTGGTCCCCAGCTGCGAGATAAAGCAAATTTTCATAACTTTCAACTGTAAGTCAAGTTATCTCGCCTGTCTTTTACCTATTCTCGCTCATAATTTCAGAATGGACTCCCATTACAACCTTCCATCGCTACGTTTTGATTTTTGGGCATCAAACGTAGCAGTTTCTAAATCATCCACACATCTCTTAAAATTTGACTAATACGTCCCGTCACCTTCCACTACGCCCCGCCGAGTCTATGACTACAAACGTGGAGTTGTATTCTAAAACATTTTGTTCATCGTTGTGTAATTTTACATAGGTTTGCCTTGGTCGATTCTTAACACCAGTCTTAAGTTTAGCATACATACGGAGTATAACTATAACTGATTGCATGAAATTGATAATTTAAATGTTTGTGAAGATGTTGCTTTTTAACTTTAATTATATGTAATTGTCCTGTATTTGATTTTGTGAGGAAACCAAGTGTCTGGTTTGAAACACAATAAAATCTGGAATCTTGTTTTGCTAATGTTCAACATAAATAATTTATAAATTATCGGCCGAGGGCAGATTAGAGCGGATCAATCAATGATGTACAAAAAGTAACATGTAAAAGAAAAAACGCTATACTACTGTGATGACTATTGCTCTCAACAGAAAGCTTCAATTTTCATTGCATCATATTTATTTATTTACCTGTATTTAAACAGAGTGGTTTTAAACATATGCAGTTACTACTTAAATGATAATAACACTATTTGCTTAATTCTATGAAGAATGTTTTTATAGTTTTTAATATTCTATCGTCCAGCGTATTCTCTCCGAATTATTGATCTGGCTATGAATTTTATGCACTAAACATAAACATGTAATACGTATCAGAATGATACTATACAATATTATATCACAAAGAACATTTTGTCATGACTATACATATTTTCTAAGTTCATCATCATGCCACAGTGTAAATGTACTGTATGACATCCAAGGCAAAGTACTAACAAAGCCGGTGTGAAAGGTGTGATGAATTTTTGAAAATCGACATTCCCATGTAAACCCATGAGAATTGATATGTTTGTCGCATGTCATACGACAGAATATCCATCAATCTGAGTACTAGCAAAAAGTACAAGTTAGGTACAGTAGACAGCTGAATTTGCTATCTTTATTTAACAAAAAGTTGATACGTTTCTTCAGGTTCAACAAAGTTATAGGTTAGGGTTGTCCAAATCTGCAAAATTTTCCAAAAATCTGTCATCTGATAGATTCTAGTTACAAATTGACTCTTGGTACAAATATTTCCACTCTAGACCCCTGGGAAATTTTGCCACGCGTCTCACTTGAAGTTTTGGTAATTTTGACAAATATGCCTTTTTCATAAATGGTTTATAACTCAAAATTAAACTGTTGTATTTCAGGAATATGTATTTTTTCTTCATCATGTATGATTTTCAATAACCCTACAGGCACCACTTTTTTTAGCTAAATCCATAGGGAAACTTTGCCACGCTTAATTTCAAAATAACGGAGATGTTATCAAAATTGAGCAATATTGGCACAAAACGAATGCATCATCATACAACACTAATTGGTATATTAAAACAACATCTACTGACTTGGTCTGATAATGTAATATAAAGATTTTAACTGTTGTGTGTCAACCTTTCTTCTGTATGATTCCATTGGATTACATTATGAAACGTGTACCATATAAAATGATACATGTTTCTAACGTTATGCTGAAAATAATATAATTGACACCACCCATCCTTTCGCATTTTAACATTTTTTCAAGGATAGGGCACTTTAAACGTTTCTTAAAATATTTTCAATTGTTCAGTAATTAAAATCTTTATATTGCAATATCGGGAAATCTAAATTTTAGGGAGATTTTGGACCACCCTATTATAGGTATATTGAAAATGGACAAGAATGGGTAAATCTTAAAACACAATCCGATTGGTATTTAGAATCGACAATGGCAACCTACAAACGGACACATCGATGGACAAATTGTTTTAGAATGCAACTCTACGTGTATAGTGATAGACTTGGCGGGGCGTAGTGGAAGATGACGGGACGTATTGGTCAAATTTGAAGAGATGTGTTGATGATTTAGAAACTGCTGCGTTTGATGCCCAAAAATCAAAACGTAGCGATGGAAGGTTGTAATGGGAGTCCATTCTGAAATTATGGGCGAGAATGGGTAAAAGACTGGCGAGATAACTTGACTTACAGTTGAAAGTTATGAAAATTTGCTTTATCTCACAGCTGGGGACCAAAAACGCCGCTAAAACGAGGTACTTTGTACACGAAAACAATGTATCGACTGAAAGGTATTTCTGTGAAGCTTTGTACGGAACAAGTTTGAAGAAAAACGGTGGAGTGTGAGACTCACAATCCTTGATTTTCAAACACTGGGGTAGGTTTTTAATTCAAATTAACGGTTTTTCGGGACGGAGTGGTTTCGATACGTCCCGAAGAGATACTACCGCGTGATTATAGGGATCTTGAAAATCCCCTCTAATGTTTGAGTGCTGTCCATTTGATTGACAGAATGATCTCTCTGTTTGTGTGTTGAGCTTGTCTAATGGAGGACACTCACAGCCATATACAGATGTAATAGAATATTGGGATTGTCCTTCCCTAGTCAGATACCACTTTATGTAAACAATTAGACAAAATATAAAAGGGAGGATATTCCCATGCTATTCATCACGGGGGAAAGTCTTCCCACCTATATACAACCTACCACCGAGCAAAGACCCGGAGATGTCTGAAAATGTAGGAAATAAATTAATAAACTCCTGTTTATATATTGAATTTCTCCATATGAGAAATAGATAAAACACAGAATTGTTTGTAACAGATATAGTTGTCGTTCGAGGCACTCATGTTTGCAGAATAATGATATTTAATTATTAATAATATTTAATATAAAATCGCTAAATTGAACTTCTAGATATTAGAATGATGTTTTACATCTTAAATAAGTAAGAACCATGGTTGTATTTTTTTGGGCTGTATTTTTTTTGTAAACAAGACTCTGGGACGATACAAAGAGGCAACAAGGTCAAGGAAACAAACTAAGAACTTTTAGAACCTATAAACATGACATAAAAACAGAAAGATATGTTACATCAATGCTTTCTATTTCTCAAAGAAAGTCATTTGCTTCTATAAGATGTGGTGTAGCACCAATCAGAATAGAAACTGGTCGTTATGAAAGGCTGCCAGTTGATGAAAGGGTGTGTCCTTTATGTTATAATGCAATTGAAAATGAAAGACATGTAATTTTGAACTGGTCTCGTTATGAAGACATCCGTTTAGACTTGTATGCAAACGTTTCTACTATTGTAACTGGTTTCATGAACTTAGATGAAGAGAGTAAATTTCAGTGTTTAATGTCTAATGACAGAATTTGTCTCTTCACTGCAAAAGCCTGTGACCGGATGCTTAAACGACGGGAACATTTTACCTACAAAACATGATTTATATGTTTTTACAAAAGTGTCTTATAGGCCCATAGGGGGCCTGGGGTGATTTTAACAGTGTACTATTGTTTTATATATGTAATTGTATTTTAACTCATGACACTATAATAAAATTAAAATAAATAAAATAAAGTAAATTTACTCCATTTGATTCAAAGATACAATAGGTGCAAATATGTTTCACTGCCATACGTTGAATATCATTGATATCACCTGATATGACTCCCTAAAGTTTTATTAGACAATGTGCCATGCTTAACCTTTAGCAGATCACCGGCGACCGCGTCCGCCCATTCAAAATTACCGCCAGAATCCACCGGCGGATCCGGACGACACAAATCTAACTTTTGAAAACTTTACTTTTTCCCGCCATTCTTATGATCCAATTAGATTGCCCGATTTATTCAGTCCTTAGTAGGTGACTTCCTGTTGACCTAGAAATGGCGATGTCAGTGTTTAAGTCGTTTTTAGTGAACAAATCATACACAAGAACACAAATGTGTACAAAATGTCCCCACCAAGTGGCGATCCCGTGAAATGGTTATCCTGAAAATGAGTAGACAAGACCAACACAATTTGAGGACGGAAAATCCAAAGTGGCCACCTTAAAATTTACCCAGAATGCCAAAAATTTAGTCAGTTCTAGATTTTAATACTAAGAACCACCCCTGAAAATTTGAAATTGATCCCTCACACAGTTAACCAGAAAACATGTAAACAAGACTTTACAGACAAGATTTCAGGATGGAAAATCCAAAATGGCTGCCTTGACATTTACCAAGAATGTCAAAAAACTAATCTGTTTGTAGATTTTCATACTAAGAATCATCCCTGAAAATATGAAATTGATCTACCAAATGGTTCACCTGAAAACGGGTAGACAAGACTTTACAGACAAGATTTTAGGACAGAAAATCCAAAATGGCTGCCTTAACATTTACGCAGAATGCAAAAAAAGTAATCAGATGTAGATTTTCATACAAAGAATCATCCCTGAAATTTTGAAATTGATCTATCAAACCGTTCACCTAAAAACGCGTAGACAAGACTTAACAGACAAGATTTTAAGACGGAAAATCCAAAATGGCTGCCTTGACATTTACCCAGAATGCAAAAAAACTAATCTGTTCTAGATTTTCATACTAAGAATCATTCCTGAAAATTTGAAATTGATCTACCAAACAGTTCACCTGAAAACGAGTAGACAAGACTTTACAGACAAGATTTTAGGACGGAAAATCCAAAATGGCTGCCTTGACATTTACCCAGAATGCCAAAAAACTAATGAGATCTAGATTTTTATACTAAGAATCATCCCTGAAACTTTGAAATTGATCCACCAAACGGTTCACCTGAAAACGCGCAGACAAGACTTCACAGACAAGATTTTAGGACCGAAAAATCCAAAATGGCCGACAATAAAAAAGTCCTTATGAGTTTTTGCTGATTTCTTTTTACAAAATTATCACATATAACTACTATTAACAATAAAGTAGGCTTTTACAGCAAAGTACATCTGAAATTATTTATAAAGCTACTAAATAGTTAAAGTATGAAAACTCAAAAACACCATTCAATATGATACAAAGTATTATCGCGCGCTAACTTTTCTTAAGACATTCAAAATGGCTGACATGACTGAGCTAGGAGGTCCAAAACCTAATCAGATCTAGAATGAAGTGAGCTGAACAAGATGTTAAAGTTTTAAAAGCAACTGTGAAGCAGTTTTTCTTAAAGTTTGCAGACAAGGATTTTAGCATTTGACTTCAAAATGGCCGACAGGAAGTAGGTTTCGAGTTAAATTTTTTTCATCCACATCTATAGGCACTCATAAGTTATTCCTGAAAATTAGAAGGTGATACCTGTAGCGGTTTTGGAGAAAACTGCCGGACGTACGGACGGACAGACAGACAACCAGACAGACAGACAGACGGACGGATGGACGGACGCGCCTAGGACGACAATATGGCCCCACACTATGTGGTGGGGACATAAAAATGACGGCCAAATACGATCACAACGAAAATGTGGAGGAAATGGATTGCGATTTCGAGCTCTTTAGGCTCTTGGAAGCCGATAATGGTCATCGAAACTAGAACCTAGAATATTTTCTGAACTGAAAACAAGAACATTCGATCACTGCAAATTCAGTTTTGGATTCTGACCAGACGTTGAATCTCCCGAGGGGCGAAACGGCGGATTCTGGAGGAGTATTCATGGTATATTTATGCCCAGTCGAGTTTATGTACGAAAAAAATTCATGAGAACATTTTTCTCATGAGCCACGCTAGTGTATCTTCCCTTTGTGAAAATTTTATCGAGATTCATTCAGTAGTAATTGAGATATTAATTATTTAGTCCAGGCATATCATTTTTGAAAAATAAGTCAGATGCGTGGGATATATTTGCTGAAATAAGTCAGAGTGCAGAAGGTTAAAGTATTCACATATCAATTATGAACAAAATCGCTCCACTACTTTTCAAGTTATAGTAAAATACGTTAAAATGGCGGCCATTTTTCAAAATTGTTTTCAAAATGGCCACCTTTTACCAAAAGTGTCATAGGACAGTGTGCCATGCTTATAGTACTCACATACCAAATATGAACAAAATCGCTCCACTACTTTCAAGTTATAGTGAATGTTAAAATGGCGTCCATTTTTCAAAAAATTTTCCAAAATGGCCGCCTTCTACCAAAAGAGTCATAGGACAGTGTGCCATGCTTATAGTATTCACATACCAAATATGAACAAAATCGCTCCACTACTTTTTGAGTTACAGCAAAAATCGTAAAATGACGAGTAAAGGCCGCCATTTTTCAAGATGGCTGCCATGTGCTTCTTTAATATCTACATTTGTAGCATTATTAACGTCCTTTATAATTTTTTTACATTTAAAACATATTGCTATTACAGTTTTACATATTGCACCTAAATTACTGTAAAATCGTCACAAAAATGGCCGCCATTTTGAAATGAGCGACCATTTTGAAAATCGGCTTTGGAGCAGAACTTCTTACCTCATAGGGTATATGTGTACAAAATATGAACAAAAACTGGCAAACTGTATTTGAGTTATTGCCCAGATGGACGGACAGACGGACGGACGGACAGACGTACGGACGGACGGACGGACGGAGGCGTTCCTTATATCCCTCCGAACTTCGTTCGATGGGATAATGAAAGACCCGATTATACCACGAGTACGATTCTATAGGACCCGATGCTACCACCTGAGTCATGGTCAAGTTTTCGACCATGATGTCATTGCATTTGATGGTTTCTTGACCATGATATCATTGCATTTGATGGTTTCTGACCATGAAATACTGCGAAACGGCAGAATAGCATCAAGAAAAAGAAATATCAAAGCAGATTTGTCAAAAATTCAATAAAGGTGAATGTAGATTTGGTGAAAACTGCTACAGAATCCACAAATGTAAATCATGCGGTTCAAAATACCCCAGCTTTAAATGCACAAGTGTTAAAGCCTCATCTTCCACTTAACGCCCAAGTACTCGAGGATGGATTACAACAAGAACACAAATGTGTACAAAATGTCCCCACCTATTGGTGATCCCGTCAAATGGTTATCCTGAAAATGAGTAGACAATTGACTTTACCGACACAGTTTGAGGCTGGAAAATCCAAAATGGCCACCTTAAAATTAACCCAGTCAGTTCTAGATTTTCATACAAAGAACCAACCCTGAAATTGATCCGTCACACAGTTAACCAGAAAACATGTAAACAAGGCTTTACAGACAAGATTTTAGGATGGAAAATCCAAAATGGCTGCCTTGACATTTACCCAGAATGTCCAAAAACTAATCTGTTCTAGATTTTCATACTAAGAATCATCCCTGAAAATTTGAAATTGATCTACCAAACGGTTCACCTGGAAATGCATAGACAAGACTTTACAGACAAGATTTTAGGATGGAAAATCCAAAATGGGACAGCATCTTTTCCAATCAATCAAGGTTGGGCCATGCAGCTGAAGGTAAGCCATACAACTGAAGGTAAGCCATACAACCAAATTTTGCCGATTCAATCTGACGGAGAATGCCGAGCCCCTATTTTTGACCAATTAGAGACGTCCTCTTCACATTCGTGGTACCCTCGGCCAACTTCGTTTGCAAAGAAAAGCTTCGGCAATCTTCGGCATTTTCCGGCTTTTCTTGAGGTATCTTCGGTTGCTTGCCAAAAGTCGACACCCAATCCAAAATGGCTGCCTTGACATTTACCCAGAATGCCAAAAAACTAATCTGTTCAAGATTTTCA